AACGACGTTGGCGTTTCTCACCCAATGCCCCCCCCCCCAGAGGGGGGGGCGGGATATGTAAGAGAAACTGGCCCCCAGCGATCTAAAGTTGCCAAGGTGGAGAAACACTGTGTAGACCCCCAGGTCAACAATGTTCAAAAGATACAATTTCCTTGGCTTCTGATGACAGCAAATAATGGTTTTCTATGGCAATAATATCAAAGTATTTTGCCACTGCCTTCTAGTGGCTGGAGATGACTTTCCAAGGCTTTAGGTGGGTTCCACTGTTTTTGAATGGAAAACAAGGGATTTAGCTGTACAAAATAGCTACAGTCTCACCAAGATGGTGGGTGCAAATTGGCATCTGATATAGACAGCGTGGTCATCTTTTTTTAAAAAAACCTTCTAAGCAATGTATTAATCCTGATCATGTCTTTTCAGAGAGACCTATTTCTGCTGGATGAAGTAATGATTAAAAAAAAAAAAAATCCAGCCATCTGTTTATGTTCTTACTTGCTTTAAGAGCTTAATAGAGTAGCTTTATCACAATTCTGGATGGAGGTTATTGCTGGCCCAATAAGCCTGGATCTTCTACATTTGAAGCGTTAGGCCCATTGAGGGAAATCTATAGAAACACTTTTTGTGATTTGAGTATTCTTGGTCCTGTCTGAGTTCCTGTTCTGAGAACTTTGAAATTGTTCCCTTTTTCTTTGCTTTCCATCCAATACAGCATCTATTCTTCATTGGTCCCTCTATCAATGGCAGGCCTCTGCTATACCTCATTATATCCTGGAGGAGCAGAGTACCAGTTTAACGGGACTCTTAATTTTGAGTGGCCTGCTGGTTTGATGTAACTGGGGTCTCTTAATTTTGAGTAGCTTGTTGACTAGCAGGGTAATTTTAAATCCTCCCAAATCATTGTCCTCTTCATGGAGAGTGGGATTTGGGGCAGGAACAGCCTCCTGTATTGTTTTTGAATAAAATGGAAAAAACAAAGGCATCCCTGAATGACACAGTGAACCTGCAGTTACCTGGGCCTTGACAAAAATACATGTTTAAAACCTCAGATTCATGCCCAGTGGAAATAAGCTTCAAATGCACAGTGTAGCTTTCTATGAAGTTCAGGAAATGGATTTGGAAGTAATAAAGCCAGAAGGTAGAGCTTAATATCAGCATAGGATTTTTTTGTAATCTGTAAGTATTTTTTAAAAGAGAGTGTTTTCCCTATAATGCTGTAAACAGTGAAGACTTTATTCACCTGCCAATTCTTCATGCTGCTGGACTGGGCTGGCCTCCAGAAGGAACCACTGGGGGAACCGTTTGAATCAGGAAAGGGCAACAACTAATAAAACGAAAAATTAGATTCTTTGTTTTCTTGCCGAAATTGCTAGTGCTGCATGCTTGCTTAGCAAGTATACAGATGTTAAGTTGCCTTTGGTTTCAATATTTTATAGGTCGTTATGCATTCCAGCTCTGGAAACCGCTAGAACAAATCATCACAGAGGCAGCAAGAAAAATTTCAACTACTGTAAGTTTAAAGCTTAGGTACCTTTCATAACATTAAAAAAAAAAAAGTCTAAGGCGTCTTAGTAAGTTGCGCAAAGCTTCAGAGGGGTGATTCGGTTTGACAGCGCTTTGATTAAATCGCCCCTTCGGAGCAGATCTGAGAACTGAAGCTGGGACTTGCTTCGAAGTACTACGCTTAATCAGGTGTTCCAGAGAGCTGGTTTTTCTGCTGCTTCTGAGATTCTGACAGATACTAGCAGCGAATAGCATTGTGGCTTCAGTTCTTGTACCTGGAGAAGTCTGAGAAGGTGTTGAGTGGCGTGCTGGGGCTTCTGACCTTGACGTGAGCAGACAGCTCACCTCATTAAATTCTCTGCCAGTCAGAGCTCCTTTGGGATGGGAACAATATTTCTGGCTTTCTGTGTCTGCTTTCCTTCTCTTTTCTCACTCCAGCTGCTAAGAGATGCTTGCTCTGCAACTTACTCTGTTTTGGGAGTTGGGGAGGGAGCAGGAAGAGAGGCCATTCTCTTCTGTTCGCTCTTGTGTGCGATAGTACCTCTCCCTAGTTCCATATATTATTAAAATCCTATTTGTCTGTGACCTAAATCCCCTGTTAGTCTCTTTGTGTCTGCCTAGTCTCAGTTCATTCAGTTTGCATATTCCTTTCCTTTCATTCCTTCCTCTTCAGTTTGCTCCCACTTCCCAGGTTTTATAATTTTAGAAAAAAGGTTCTGTTATCTGTAACTTGTCTGTTTCTGCTTTGAATTACTGGGTCTGACAGAGGGTTTGGCAACCGTAAGCATGTACAAAATACTGCTTATTGTTACATCCCAGTGTATTCTATATACAGTAGTGATAGCATGCACACTCTCAGATATTTAACTACATTAGTTGAAATTAGTTTTAGTTTCTTAAATTAATGAATATAATAAATATGCTGAAATGGGTGGTCAAGCAGCAGAAAGCAGTTCACAAGGTAGCTTTGACTGGGAACGTGAGTCTTGGTGGGCCATTCTACTGGCAAGAGTAGGACATTCTTGCTAGCTTACATTCGTCCTCCAATGATTTCTTAGGCTCCTAACCTCATAAGGGCTGGTGCTGCCTTGTGATGTCTGGCCATTGATGGGTGGAGAGCTGCCTTATGCTCAGTATTCCAGAGCTGGGGAAGCCACTGGCCTCACCTTTGCAGGCTGTGGTGAGGTGACTTCAAGAAGGATTAAGAAATGGTTGCAACCACTGTTCAAGGAGAGGAGGTCATATGTATTGGTAGGAATGTGTGACCCTCACCTAAAGGTTGGTGTATATGGGAAAGATACCGCTCTACAGCAGTGAAACGATGAGTTGGTGAGGACTGTCTGCAGCTGCCAAGGGCAGTCTGATTCTTGCAGAAGCAGCAGCATGCTCCTCTGCCAGAGTCTTCACTGTGAGCCGAGGAGCGGCATCCTTGATTTCGGTTTAGGCCACCCAGTCAAGGAAGGTGAAGAGTCCAAAAGTATCTGTTGCTGCCTCCTTTTCTGAGGAAATGGAAGAATTGTCTAGCAGCCCCCGGAGTACTGGACAGCCAGAAGCCAGATATGGCAAGATCTGGCCACAGTTGCCCAGGGATGTCTGTCTTGCCCACAACCAGTGTCCCACGGGGTAGGAGGTTTTGTGACACCTCATCCCTTGAACCTGAATTGGTGGAGCAGCTGGCATTCTTGGAAGTAAACCTCTCTCTCCTAGATTTTCCCAAAGCTGAATCTTCAGACAATGTGAGTGCCCATCTTCCATTGCATGCACTGCTGCTTTTAAAGTTACTACAATTATTTAGCTTGTTTTGCAGCTACTCAGTATTAATCTTCCAACCCCAACTGTAGTTTGGGCAGATGTCACTCTTGCAGCTCTCACCATTATTAATTCTTAGGCACAAAGTCAATTTTATCAAACCGTCTTCCAATTTTTAAATTTATTAATGGCAGGAGGCCAGACTTCACTCCTTCTGGGACTGGAGCAAATGGAGAAAGTAACTTGGGACTTGTCAAATTAGCACTTTCTTTGATGGACACTGTAATTTGGAGAAACCCTTATCCAAGCGACTTTGATTTTCTGCTTTGAAAGAAGCTCAATGCACCAGCTGTAAGCTTTTTAAAAATTAAAGAAAGACTTCTCTTGGTTTGGCCTGAGGCAGGTATAACATTCTCAAAACTGATGTGTATTGTTAGTGTTAGCAGGAAAGAAAGCACCATGAACAGCCCTTATTTTCTAATGCAAATGCTTTGTTTTCTTTTAAGTTGGGACAGGGCTAATGCTTTTGTCTCCCCAAATTGCTAAAGTTTGAATCAACTGTAAAGAGGCTGCTGTTTACTCCTAAGTCAAAATCATTTATGGACAAATTAAGAAGCCCTGGTTCCGTCAGAGATCCTTGAATGACCCAGTTTCTCTCCATTGAAAATATTTCCCATTTATTTATATTCTTTCTGTTTTTTACCAGTTAGCAGCCCATAAAAGACTAGGTCCTCTTATCCCATGACTCAAGAGCTTTTCATGAAGAATTTCATTTTTAAAAAATGCCTGTTGACCTTTTCCGAGAAAGCTAGAAAATTAATAAGGCAGAATTTACCTTTACATGATCCATGTGGATCTCCCTTGAGCAAAACTTGTTCCTGTATGTGCTTATTTTTTTCTTTGATTACCATTTCTTTTCTGTGTGTTCACCTATTGTCAGGTAAACATACAATGTTCCTGCCTGCTTTTATTTTAATGCTACTTTTATTACAACTTTGAAGCTAGTCAGTCATCACATTTCCTAATTTCTGATTCAGTTTCTGAACAAGATCTTAAACATTTGTGTTTCCACTGCACAAGCGAAGCATTTCTGCACTCCTTTTCTATAGGTTCCGTACCTCACTCCATAGATCATTGCTAGAAGGACCATGGTGTTGAAGGTGTTGCCTGTCGGTTGGAGAATTGGTTTTATGTATTTAAAGATGAGCCATGCTGCTGTTCTTCTGCACAAATATTTCTTGGCCACTTTTGTGTATGTTATTGATTTTCTGGCCAAAACAGATGTAAGAATTTACCTCCCGTATCTGCTCATGTCCCAAGCTTCATTTTGTACTACTGGCTGAATGGGTTGCGCATATATTGGTCTTAGTTTTGCACACACTGCTAAGATGATCTCCTGCAAGACGGAGAGATGGAGTACAAAAAGATCTTGATCCCAACTGGAACACCATAGTGAAAGACCAAATGAAGCATCAGTATCTGCTGAAATGGTTTCTTTGAATATCAGCACTATCTGGATGAATATGACAGTAAAGTGAGAAAGTGTAGGTGAAGTGGCCACCATTTAGACAAATCTGCCTTGAACAGACATTAAGTTGATCCAGAAAGTAAATTTCCTGAATCTCTCCAGGTTTCTTTTTAAAACTTGATGTTGCATTCGTTATCTTCCAGTGCTCTGGCACTGAAACTGAATTGAGGGACAAGTTGGGTATTTTTGCTAGGAGATCCAAATCTCACATTTTTGCACTTTAAGGATGTTGAATGGCTGCTGTCAAGATTTGAAGATTTGTTACCATGTCGCCTCTCAAGGTGTTCTAGAATATGTTCTTCTTACTTCTGTCACCTTAGTGATTCTGGTTCCTTCCCTGGGAACATTCAGTTTCATGAAGGAAGCCTTCCTAACATGACAGCTTCCTGGATGTTTCTAGAAAGCCCTGCTGGCCTGTTCTAGACTTGGATAACCCTTTCTTACATTATGGAATTAATTCTAAATAATCTCTAGGCACTGTGAAGGGAACTGGCATTCTTGATTTTTCCCTTCAGTCGTCTCAATGTTTAGATGTTTCCCTTTTTTTCTGTGCATGTAAACTTTTGCCAGCGTTTTCCTCTCTTTTTGTACCCTGGCAATTCATTTGGGCTGTTGACACAATGGTCCAAAAATTAGCATGTGACTTCCTGTTCCTCCCACATCACAAGTCTGCAGCCATTGCACGCTTGGCACCTTCCTCCAACTCTGATAGATGGGCAGTCTGACACAGAGAATAAAACTGCCAGTGTTGCTATTTTGTTAGAAAATCTGGCACCTTTTTGCAGTTCTTTGGCAGGAATTAAGTCCTCTCAGAAGGGCAACTAACGTAGAATATGGCCAGCGGGCCTCAACCTTGGGAGTTTAGGCTTATGTCACAGGAAGACTTTTAACTGACATCTTTCATGGTCATTCCTATAAGGAGCTATACTTGCCAAGTGTACAGAAGGCACGGATGACAGCCAAGAAAGTAAGCTGTCCGAGGTGGAAGGATGGGTGCATTCACATGATCATTAAAATCTTTGTTTTGGAAACCTTGGGAGTTGCATCTTCCCAAGGAGCTATGCAAAGCTACCTGTCGAAATATGTCAACCCAAAACTAGTCACTCTGGCCTATTTAAATCTCAGTGCCAACTGAAAGGACAGGGGAGAAGCCTAACAAGAGGGCTTTTCCTCAATGCATGTTGGAGCTAGGAATTAGGCTTGCGAATGGACATGTTGTCTCCAAATTGGGAAATTGCTGAGTAATACTTAATGGCTATTTGCTTATTGTTTAACAGATTAGTAGGCAGGCTTTTTGTGGTCTCTCCAAGTGTGTTGCAAAGCAAGGCTGCAGATGGGATGGCAGCAAGGCTAACGTTACTTTGGGCATCATTCTCTTTCTCTGCTTTCAACTTCTTTAAAGTAGCCACGAGCCTGAATTTGTTTCTCTTCGGCTGGTGGAACACTCCTCTTCTGTGCTGGTTCGGCCAATAGGGCTGGGGGCTCAGTTCAGCTCTCAGCATTCTGAATATGGGTTCAAAGCAGGTAGTCTACTAATATGCACTTAGAACCTATCAAAGCTTATTTTATATTCTGCATGGATGGGGCACGTTGAAGTCTCTTTACATAAATGTAAATGAATCTGTGCCAAGCTTACAGTCAGACGTTAGCCCAAACAATTACTGACTTTAAGACTGGGGTGAGGGGATAGCAAGACTGAGAATGCCACTTTCCCTCTGCCAGCCTTTTTC